AGCATAGGTTTAATTACAGCAACCATAAAAGCCTTTGGTACATATCCCTGTAACAGAGATAGATTAATCACGTCTAAAATGGAGGAGATCAAAGGGAATACCTCCTTAAATAACCTGGTTGATACTGAATCGAAAATACAAGGTGAAGGCTTAGATGAAGACAATAATTTTGCTAACTCTGAAAGTTCAACTGGATCAAAGCAGTCTAAACCCCTTTCAGATTCCATGACTACCTCAGATGCTGCTCCACCCTCCAGAGACAAAACAAACGCGGATAGAGGAGTGCTAATAAACTTATTTTTAATAAGATCAATCTTATTTATAAAGAATCCCATAAAATCATGACTTCTAAGAGCAGGTGGACGGTTCAACTTAGCTATGGCTCTTGGTGAGTTTGGCAACTGTATTAAAAAAAAATCCTTTTCTTTGTTCATATCCCCAAATTTTTATTTCCTCTTACAGTGAATGTATTCCTGCTTTTTTATGTCACCAGTTTGGAATAAGATCCCGTGTGTCCATATCTTAATCTTTTATTCATCCCTCCTTCTCTGCTCCTTCTTTAAGTTATTTTTTCCTCTTACTGCCTTTCTTTTAAATAGGATGACCTTTATATAACTTTTAAACATACATAACACCACCCTCCTTCCCTTTCTCATCCTAGGTTTTCTACCTTTCTTTCCTTAGTTTAATCTTAACTCCAACTTAAAACTATCTAATATAAATTTAAGAAAAGTTTGAGTTGCATTTTTTCTGCATGAGTTGTAATATGTCAGGGCAAAGTCCTGGGACACATGTTGTTGTAGCGTAAGAGAGAAATGTTTGGTTTAATCCAATTATGCCATCCAAGAAGCATTAAAACATATATTTAATGTAGAGTTTAATGAATCAAGAACATTTAAAGGATATATAGAAATATATTTCAGACATAAAATAAATGAATGCAAATATAAACCATGTTTACATACATAAAAAAAGGGTTTTTAAGCAGTGTACAAATTAACTTATCATAGACACTGATTTATAAAATGATTGTTAGGTAAGTGGTTGTAATGATGGGAATGCTGATTTACACAATAAGGTTACAGGTTTCAATTGTTCACTTTTTTTTCTTTCTGAATATTTCACAAAATAGGTCGTTTGATTATCCATCTGTCAGTCTGCTGCCAGGTGAGACGGGAGGGGCGTCTTTTGCTCCACGGCTACAGGACGGCCCCGCTTTGCGTTCTTCTGACCTCTCAGCATGGTGGCGTGCTGCTTCACCAGGTATCGCTTATCTGAGCTGCACTGTAGGACGATAACATGAATACAAACACAGCATTAACACAAACAGGGCAGAACCTCATAAAATAGGATCTATATCACTTCTTTAATAATGACAGGAGATGAATGAGATCGGTGTAACTTGCCTTTTTCATTGTCCAATTTTGGTAAGTAGTTTTTCAGAGCATATGCTGGCAATGGTAATCACCTCTTTAAAATAAACTTAAAACAGCTTTTACAATGTGTTGTAAAACCAAAACATAGTTAAAGGTGCAGTAGGAGATCTTTTCTGAGGCATTTTTCCCCAGCCGCTTAGCAACCAGTGAAATAGAAGGTCTGGAAGTAAAACTAAAATAAAAGGTCCCGCTACAGTGAGAAATCAATCAATAACCCCAACCAATCACAAAAGACGGTCCGTTGTACACGATTGGTTCCTGACACGTAAATCATGGTCGTCTGCTTGTTCCTCCCCCCTGTGCGCGTACCCTGACACATGAACGAAACGACACCCCAATGCTCGTGCAGAACGCCATGGCTGGAAGCTAGCCACTGTTATGCTACGTTCACACCTAAAGCAGCAAGAGCAGCAAAAACGCGTGTGCTGCTTCCTTTTTGATGCTTTTACAAGTTTAGTTCTGAAGCATCTTTGTTAGGGTGACCCGATCCTTTCTTTGCCTGTAACAATGGCAGCTATATTCGCTGTGATCAGTGGGTAAAAAGCAGTTCGAATCTATTTTGAAGTGAGAAAGTCCACCTGAAAATATTGTCAGTGCAGTCAGTTCATCCAGATTATCATCCTGCCTTCAAATATAATTTCTGTCGAAGCCGCTCAGATCTCCGTACATCGGCGGTGCATTGTCACTAGGAATCCCGTTCAACAGCAGCCTCTGGCCCGGCTGGAAGGCGTTTTTCATATACGTAATCCAAACTGTAGGCACCAGGATAATAAAAGCGAACACGTATTGGCATTTCGGCATTTTACGTTAATTTAAGTGTTAATAAACTGTCATCAGCGCTGCTCCTGCTGCTCTAGACGCGCTGCAGAAAGCATGCGCGTTCATGTGTTTTGAAGGTGTGGTTTCAAAGGGTGGTCTGAAGGGAGAGGCAGGGTTGTGTATGTTCAAAAATATAGCTTGCTGGAACCATTTTTCCAAGATCTCCTACAGCACCTTTACATTTATTTTTTTTTTCAAAGAAAACAGGACTTTTATTTACAACTGATGCTTATGTGGATAATAGCTACTGGAAACGCAAGAAAGTTATCTTCCTTCCAGTAAGACGTTCATAACTGAGAACCTTACTTTAGGAATTTTTCAGAGCTATCCTTTTAAAACAACCAGAGCTCTTAGGAGCATATGAACTAAAGCAAGTACAGCTTCCAAACTATACATTTGAAATACAATTTTTTGTATTTGTATGACAGAAAGGCATTAAGGAATATTTTTCAGGTGGAATCACCATTTTAAATGTCACCATGTCTGATTTATAGTTGACACAAAGAAAAAGAGAAATATTTTGTTTCGCCAAAGTTTTTTCCAAAATAAACACTGCAAAGCACCATGAAACCCTATTTAAAACTCCGGATGAACCCTCGGACTGTATAGATCCGTATCTTGGCTATAACACAATCAAATTTGGACTAAATAAGTTGAAGCATGTTTGTTTCAAAAAGGTTTTAGTGGGCAGTGTGCAAGGCGGAAATGTGATTTTGGCACAGTGGTTACATCACCTGAAATGGTCGCAGAATTACCTCCGACTCCTCCTTGAAAAGGTTTGAGCCTCGAGTTTCCAATGAGGACAGCCATTAGGGAGTGTGGCTAAAACTGAATAGCTGCTGTTGCATTACTCCCGCAGAGTCAGACATGTCAGGCCGAATTTTAAATCTATTCTTATTTGTTTTCACAGCAATAAAACAAAAAAGTATTTGTGAAAAAATAATTTTGAAACATGTTTTAGACATTTTAAAGCCCCATTTTGAAAGCCATGTAGATGAAACACCATGTGACTGTGTTTTGGCCATTTTTATAAATAGATCAACATGAACAGGTGTCCGATGGGCACTGTACTGGGCCCGCTGGGCTCAAAGGGTTAAAACGCCTATCAGATTCATATGATTGTCTAAGGAGGTGAAAAATAAAGAAGGTTTTTGGGCAACACACGAAGGCATTGGAAAGGTTCGCAGAACATTGAAAGCTGATGAGCTGGCTGCTTTAATTCATAATTGATACAAAAAAAAGAAAGCATCAAGCACATTTGTTTTCCTTTAATAACTCAATAAATACATAACCACGATTACCTTATTTGATATGCATGTATAACATGTCTTTTTTTGGTGATTTACAAATTGCGCAGAAGGCAGCAGCTCTTTTACCAAGAACTAAAAATCATTAACAAATGCGGTATCTCTAGTTCCAGTTTCTGTCCTGCACTTTCTATATTTCTAGATTGATATTTGGATTTCACTGCTTGCTTTTAAATTATTGAAATGTCTGACCCTATCATAAATCTTCTTTACATCCACAACCAGCTAGTTTATCTTAGCTGTTCCTGCTGTAGATTGATCCGGCGTTTGTATGTCTCCCCCAATAGTTGGGAACAGTTTACCTTTTCATATGTGGACCACAGACTGTCTAGACTCTTAAATCCGTGCTCAAAACACAATTTTGTTTGAAAATGTAAAATGACGTCCAATGCTATCCACTTCTAACATTTAAAGACTCTGTAGGAACCTTGATATTGCTAAACAAACTAAGGAGCACCATTTATGTGCTTACCATAACCAGCATGTCTTTAAGCCGTTCAATTGCCCTCTGGTTGGCGCGTCCCCGTGACACGTATGACGTTAGGAGGATGCTGAGGACACACAACATCATTTCATGGTTATTTACCAGTGGATCCGAGAATAGCTGTTGCACAGGCGTTATAGTAGCACCTACTTTGGAAGTACAAGGAAAAAGAAAAAGGGTTTTCAAAATTCTTTGCATATGATCATCAAAGTGTGACCACTGTCAATACTTTGCAGAATACACTTTCTCTGCTAGTAGACCTGCAGATCTCTTTGAGTACATGTGTCCACTGCCTTCATACAACAACTGTTTTCTTTTTATTCTTTGCAAAAATATTTCAAGCCCAGATTGGATGCAGAGCATCTATGATGGGCAATTTTCCCTGATAATCTCACCTCTATATTTTAATCTTGCAGCTGTGTAGTATTAGCTTGCTTCCATACAATGCATCATATATGTAGCCCAAAGGTTTAGTTCTGGTGTTATCTGACTAGAGCTGTTTTGGTCACGTTTGCCATGTATACCGCCTCACTTGTGCGGAAATGTAAAAAGAACATAATTCAGTATTCCTTACACAGGAGGACAGATTTTTTTATCGCACAATTAGTTGTTTTCGGGTTGACAAATCTCCAGCCTGACGTTTGGATAAACAACGTTGCTCTAGACTTACGATGGGCTTTTTGTTTTTTTCCAATTCAATTCAATTCAAAAATACTTTATTAATCCCAAAGGGAAATCAAATGTTGCAGTAACTCATACGTTTTTCTTTTTTAAACAAGTGTTGTATGATAGCTGTTGGTGGGAAGGATCTTCGGTTGCGATCTGTCTTGCACCGGATCTGGAGAGGCTTCTTACTGACGACACTCTGTTGTTGTTCATCCTAGGAGGACGCTCACTGTTTTCCATAATTTCATTAACTTTACAAGGAATTCTTCTGAAATATTCTCCAGAGGTTATAGAGGAGTTCCAAAGCTGGCCTTCTTAATTAGCTTGCTGAATTGTTTTTTTTGTCATTAGCCCTGATGCTGCTACCCCATGGAAGAAGAGATCACACTCTCCGTAACAGACTTACAGAAGATATGTAGCATTTTGTACCAAATGCCGAAGAACCTAAGCTTACATAGGAAGTACAATCTGCTCTGTCCCTTCTTGTAGATGGCTTCACAGTTGTCTCCAGTCTAGCTTGTTGTGCAAGTGAACACCAAGGTATTTACACTCCTCCACCACCTCCACTTCTTCTCCTTTGATGTTAATAGGTTTCAACTTATTCCTATTTTTTCTGAAATCTACAATCATGTCCTTTATTTTGTTGATATTCAGAATGAGAGGACTGATTCCACACTATGCCACAAAGCAGCTCACCATCTTTCTGTACTCAGCTTCTTGTCCATCTTTGATCCACCCAATGACTGCAGATAATCTGAGTACTGCCATCAACAAATTTCTTTATAGATGTTGGAAATCTGCCTGTTTTTCAGTGTAGTCCTGTTTCTCTGACTGTGACTAACTGGATTGGCTCTCTTCATCCTCTGAAATGGCAGCTGGCTCGGAGCTCATTTGCCTTGCTGTGTGTTTGCTGGATGGGGCCGCCTTTTACAGTTGCCTTTTGTATCTCTGCTTCTTTCTTTATGTCTGCTCCTATCTCCTTGAACCCCGCTCACACTGAGCCTGGTTCTGCTGGGGGGTTCTTCCTGTTAAAACAGAGTGTTTCCTCTCCACTGTCGCTACAAGCATGCTTAGTGTGAGTGATTGCCTTCGAGTCAATGAGTCGATGCAATCAACTGGTTTTCCTTAGACAGAAAACTTTGAACCAGTTTGACTTTATGATCTGGTGAACTGTAAAGTGCCATGAAATGATGAAAGTGTTGTGAATTGGCATTATATAAATAAACTGAATTTAAATTGAATTGAAGTTTGTGGTTATATAATAAAAAAATGTGTGGAGGGAAAAAAAAACATTAAGAGGTACAGGTGGTATTTATTGATTCTATCCCCCTCAAGCCAATTTTAAAACAGGTAAAAGTGATGTTCTCTTTGTGATTTAACCCAATATAACTTACATTTCGGCTAGCAGGAGAGGCAGGGCAAAGGCTTCAGAAGACAGGTAGCGTATAGCAGTCTGGGCTGAACTGGGAAGTCTTTTCACACATTTGTTGGTCACATTAAACACACTTTCTTGATTTAAAAATGGACCACAGGAGATCCTAGAGCTATAAAACAAAAAAGGAAAAGCTTTATAAATGTGATTAATTGCAACAAAGGGTTAACCAGACATCCAGCTATTAAAAATATTTTACTTAAAAATATCTGGATTGTAAATGCTGAGTGAAAGAGTAACGTGGAAAATACGTACATGGTGTTTGGTTGCTTAGACTGGTAATAGTCCAAGACTGGTGCGGCTGCAGCCATTAGGAGACCCAACAGCAACATGAAATGGAATAAAACTGAAGAGTTGGAGGCTCGAAACATCCGCTGTTCTGCCACACAACACCGCAGGACACTGAACTGAAGACACACAATCAGACAGCGATATAAACACTATTGAACCAATTTAAGGCTAATTTCATAGCTGCCTGTGCTTTAATACGAGGTCCTATTTGTGCCAAAAATGAGTTCACACTTTAATGCTCCCAATGAAAATGTTGGAATTCAACTACAAAACGGACTTTTAAATACTTTTGCTGAATGTTAAGATTCATTTGAACACATCTGTGTGGATAGTACAAACGATAGAGTATAATTTACTTAATGCATGTAAACCCAGCTGCTTTGGAGGTAGCTAGCTTAGCTAAGCTTAGCTTACATTAGCAATAAGAACAACAGCAGTAAGAACACACTGGAAAAATTCAAGCTAAATCATGTATTTCCCCGTAAATATCACATTTACGCATTTTAACTAATTTATGTTTACACTTCATGGTGACAACATGAATTCTGGATGCCTTATATCAGGGGTTGGCAACCTTTTTAAGGCCGAGGGCCACTTCATGGGTACTGAGTCATAGGAAGGACTACCAATACTGAGTTATGAAGTGGACAGATCAGCGTTCCCCTTAACTTCATACATAACACACATATTTTTATTGGGAGGGCAGAAGGAAGCAAAGAGGAAAGAGGAAATGTAGGAAGGAAGGAAGGAAGGAAGGAAGGAAGGAAGGAAGGAAGGAAGGAAGGAAGGAAGG